CATCGCTGGCATTCTTTCACTTAAAGGTGCAGCTTTTCTTTGTCTCTGCAAACCACATCACTCATCCACTGTGGCATTAGATTTTCACATACTGTTACTGCATGACCTCAACACGAGGACACAGTAAAGATCCCTGACAGACATGTTTTTACTTTGCTTGGAATGATAATTTGTGTCTGACATGGATTTTCCACCAAAATGTTCAATTAAAAATGATTAAAGGCTCTGAAAATCAGCAGCAGCAGAAGTACTTAGATCTTCCACTGAAGTAAAATTATCATTATCAGAGTGCGGAAATATTCCTGCATTTGAAACTTGTAAGTAAAAGCATCAAAATATAATTAAAGTAATGAAAGGCTCACTTGTTATTATAGAATGGTTCATTTCAGGATGATGTACTATTACTAGTTTGCATTAGTGTGTAAGCGTCACTAATGTTGTAGCTGGTAAAGGTGGAGCTACTGTGAATACTGTCAGGTGGCTTCATTCATAATAACACGTCATCATTTATTACTTGATCACAGTTTGTATTAAGAATCTGCATCTGCAGCATAGTCTTGTTAAAAAGTGCAGTATTTCCCTCTAAATTGTGGTGCAGTTGAAGTATACAATAGCATCAGATGTAAATGCTTAAATGAAGTACATGTTCTCCAGATGTCCTGTTTTGTGTTTGTGTTTATGTATTTCTGTTTTCCTGTGAGCTCTTCTCTCTGGTTTAAACTGGGCTGCTGCCTATTTTTACTTTGATATTACTTACTTAGTCATGAATATTTAACATTACAATGGCATGTTCTCAGCCGCTTTAAAACAGCACCTGCTCCTCCCTCACTGAAAAATCCAGTCTATGAACACACAAATAAATGTTATTACTTTTCAGCAGTGAAGCGTTTCACCTTCAGCAGACAAATGTGAAAACTGCTTTCCAGTGTCAAACGCAGATTTCTCTCTGCACAGTGAAGGTCAAACATTACGATAAACAAAACCCTTCTTAGCACAGGGCAACTCTAATAAATAAAAACAAAGCATCTGTAGTTTTTCTTTGTGATTCAGAAGAATTTCACGAAGCTACGGGGCCTCGTTAGTGCAGATAGCTTGCACTTTGCACCTAAAAGAATTTTCAAAACAGGAACCATCCCCGTTTTTTTTCCAATCATAAAACCACAGGCTTCAAAAAAGGAATAATTACTCAATCTTAGCTCCTGGCCCTCCCACCTCCAGCCTTCCACTTCCCCCCAGAGGGATGTGAGTGCGTCAGTGTGGGGATGGAAAAAAGGAGAAGTAAAGCCTTTTGACTTTCAGGAAGGAAACACATCTGGGGAGTAAGGAAGGAGAGAACATGTGAAAAGAGGAATTAGAGTGGAGGAAGAGGAGCTGGCCAGAAATAGTCAGCCTCCGCTCGAGTCCCTCCACCACACCTCCCGCCACCCAGGCATTAGTCAGCCCCAACCATCCCTCAGCGGGTGACTAACGTCTCCGCTGAACCCCCCCCCCCCACTCCCACCCTCCCAGGTGTGTTAATTCAGTCCAGGTTTACTCAACCTGAGACCCTGTTTATACACAGTGACACCTTATCTGGAGATAAAATGCAATGATAAGAAAAATGATTAGCATTTAACCGTGTCACAGTAAACTACAGCAAATACTCATAACCACCTTTATTTGGCCAAGTATGTTACACATACAAGGAATTTGTTTCCGGTACAGAACTGAGGCAGCCATCTGCGGCGCCAACTCACACTGATGGCTCTAATCATCGGGGGCAACTTGGAAGTTCACTGTGTTGCCCAAAGACACTTTGACATGTGGACTGCTGGCACCAACATTCAAACTTCCAACCCTCCGGTTGGGAGATGACTGCTCTACCCACTGAACCACAGTCATTGGAATAAATAACGGTTACAAGTGAACTCAAGACTTTATGGAAACTTGTTGTATTGAAACATCGAGTTTTCTCAGCGTTTTCTTTTTCACAGTGAGGAGTCACTGAGTTATGATAACAGAAAGGGGACTGTAAACATTCCTCTGGTCTAGAGAAACAGGAACGCCGGCCAGACATATAGGGTAGTGCCAGATGTAAGGTGAACAGACTGGTTTTGGACGAGAAGGACCAGACGGTATGCAGGTGGACTCTGTACACACCAACTGGCTGGGCTTGCCAGAGCAAACAGCGTGGGCAGTGTTTCGCTGTGATTGGTCACTGCAGTTTGACTTGTGTCAATAACTGCAGGAAGGAGACGTGTGGAGATCGAGATATGCACATTACCACAGAAGAGGAGGACGTGTGTGCCAGCATGTGAATAATAAATGAGGAAGGCTGTCAGAAACCTGCTGTAACTCACATACCAGTGGGAACTCCCCTGTTCCAAGGCCTTTTGATACAGCCTGGTCATCCCTACAGCAAGAAACATATACACTCAGTAGTCAGTTTATTAGGAACCCCTGTGTCAGCCTAAGTCAGTCTAACCCAACAGTCCTTCATGAAGGTGATGATGTTCAGACTGTTTCACAGAGCTGTTGGTTCACCTGTGTGGTCACTGTGGAGTTTGTGTTGCTGTTCAACTAAGCTGTTTCTGGAATGTAAATAGGAACATTTTTCCAAACACCTGCTGTACAGTCAATGGCATGAGCTGTGCATCAAGCTGATTTCTATAGCTCTCTGTCAACTGGAGCCATCCAGTGGTGCTTTACTGAACTATGTAATATGGAAACAACCATCTTGAAGACACACACTGGCCACAGTTCATTGTTAGGACTTTTAATGGCTTTTAATGGTATGAAAGTTACCTGTTTTGCACATTTTCATCAGTGGTATAGTGTCACAGTTATTTATCAAAAGACAAAGCACACTTGTCCCTTTAAATGTTTAGATTTCAGCTTTTGTGTGTGAATGTGTTTTTATTGTTCGTCTGTAACTTGCTACTGCCTATCTTGGTTGCCCAAGACCTCGTTTTTGTTGAAGTTTAACTGGCTGCTGATAAATGAAAGTTAGGTAAAATAAAAATATATCAGGAAGTTGCCTCGTTTTGTTTTCTCTGTGGAGATATGCAGACTCAATAACAGCCAAAGTAGAAGAAGACAATTTGAAATTATTTTAGGCTAGTTGCATTAAAGCCAGTGTGATTAATAGTTATTTATTTTATTAATAATCTGCTGTTGGCATCTTTGCTCTCCCGATTTTGCTCTGAATATTTAGTCTCTGGGTGTAAGAAACAAAACTTTTTTAAAAGAAAACATTTCTCTTAAAATGTCTTATAATGAGAGAATGGGATGCTCGTGCTAATATACTGCATTGTAACCAAAATTAATTACTAAGAGAAAATATGAAGTTTTAATTTAAAGAAATATGGGCTAATAACTTACTTTCACCATGAGCAACATAATCCGTTCCCATGGGAGTGCTCTTACTACGGAAGCTCGCTAGGATAACAGGAGGACCCGAAACGCGAAGGAGCCAGGAGCAGCAGGAGGCCGCGGCTGGAGAATGACTGACGACGTTATATTAGTGAGTACAAAACTACGGAGGGTTTAACAAAAGGTTTCGAGAGCCAACTCCCGTGCTTCTCTACGAGCTCCCGAAGCTTTGTCTGGACACCGCAGGATGAGTCTGGATAAAGCAAAGCTGTGTGATTCACTGTTAACCTGGGTAAGTTTGATAATGCGGGACTTGCTAGCAAGGCTAGCCTCTGGCTAACAGGTGACAGCAGGTGGTGGCAAGGTGACAAGAAATTTAACGTTGTGTTTTTATGGTAATGCCTCATATAGTCAGTAAATACCTGCCTTATTGACTGGGTTAGTTAAAAGCAGTTGGTATGAAAGTTACCTGCTTTGACGCTAACACTCGCTAGCCAGCCAAGCTAACTACCTAGGACTTGGAAGTTTGCTCCTGGTGGTGTGTTATGAGTCTGACTAACAGGTGACAGCAAAGCGGACTCCCACCAAAAGACCGGCTTCGTGTAAACCCAGTTTAGTCTAGGACTGGTTCTCTCTCCGACAGGCAGAGAAAACCACCTGTTAGTTCCCATTTAGAGACAAGTGCAGGACTAAGACGCCTGTTGATGTCACCAGGTTCTTACGTAGGGCTGTGTGTCCTGTCTGTGTTCAGCATCTGTCCTTAATGGTGTTTAACAAGAATGTATAGGTTCTGACAGAATCCCTGCTCTTGGCTGCTGTTTTGTAATGGTCAGCCCACGAGAGTGTGATTTACAACTGGTACCAAATTACGTTTTAGTGAAGTTAAAGCTGTGAACACATTATTTATGTACACATCATATTTAAATGCACCAATAATAAATTCTTTGATACAGTTTCATTACAGCTGTTTGTCAAATGTATGCATTGCTTTAATGACTAATTATTACCATTTCTTTTCTCAGTTACAGACGTTTCAGGTGCCGTCATGCAACAGCAAGCACGACCTAACAAGTGGATTGGCCATTGCTCATGTGCTGCACAGAATGTAAGGGCACACACACACACACACACACACACACACGGTGGCTGTTTCAGAACCTCCTCACTGACATTTGCTTATCTGTGTGATTTGTGCAGGATTGCTTTTTGAACTGCACAAGGTTGTTATCTATGTAAAACGTGGCAGGACTTGTGAGGTCATTTTTTTTCTCGGTGTCCCAGCTGTTGCCTTGAAGTGTGTGACTGACTAATGAGTAAACCTGTGTGTCCAAGCCTGATGACCTGTGTAGCTTGTGGTGGAGCATGCTTCCCTTGTCGCATGCCCTTACAGATAAATGGGCAATGCAACTATTTCTGAATCAAATGAAATGGACTCTCATTTTAAGGTTGCTTTATCTGTTTCTTGAGCATTATTCCCTTGCGTGACATGTGACTGTAATGAGCAGCTCTACTCAAATGTCACAGTGCTCGGCAGTACAGAAGCACAGCGCCTCACTGCCCCGTGGCCTCCTGTGAATCATCCTTGTTGTCACTAGAGTTCTCTTGTGCTCTCATTAACAGAGACCCCTCTTGGTTTAATAAGACATGGTTATGCAGGATCAAGGAGGAGAGCGAGGCCAACTGGCGTCTCAAGGTAATTTATGATAGAATAATCTATGTCATTCTAGAATAATAAAGTGTCCGGGCTTTTTTCCATCATGAAAACTCCTTGTTTTGTTCTTTCAGGTCAGCAACTTGAAGAAGATTCTTAAGAGCATGCTGGAGTACTATCACGATGTAAGAAGAGCTTAGTGTTTTCCTAACTTAAAGTTGCATTTGTGTGTAAATGTTCCCCTTATTTCTTATGTGTCAGACTCTGTCCTGTCTCACCGTATTCTCCATGAACAGGTGCTTGGTCATCAGGTCTCAGATGAGCACCTGCCAGATGTGAACCTTATAGGAGAGATGGGAGATGTCACTGAACTGGGGAAGCTGGTACAGCTCGTACTGGGCTGTGCTGTCAGCTGTGAGAAGAAACAAGGTGATGTGTCTGCAGGAGAAGCACGAACACCAAATGGACACAGCCATCTGTGGAAATCTCACACAGGATTAACTCCAGTCAAATCACGATTGCTGTTTTTATGTCAGTGGTGGTCTCGTCTTCACAAGAAGCTAACCACACCAAAACCATTTCAGAGATTACAGCTCAGTGCAAAAACTGGATCAGGCCGCTTGTTATTTAAACATGAGCTCGATGAGCACCGGTTGTCTGACAATAGATGCAGTGCTGGTTTGGTTTTCAGCAGAGTATTTGTGTTAATCTGTCTTTGGCTGCACCTTCACTGGGCTCTGTTTTCTCCCAAACACAGAGCAAATCCAGCAGATAATGACACTTGAGGAATCTGTCCAGCACGTCGTGATGACAGCCATTCAGGAGGTGAGCGAGCTGCTTTGCTTATCCTCTGGGCTCTCTCTACTTTGCATTAATCCCGGTGCTTAGTCATGGTGAATTCACAATCAAAGAAATCCGGATAAGCATGAGGCTTAACAGAGTCCCTGAAACCCATCTCAGATATTTCAAGACTATGTTTAGTGTTTCTTTGGCACCCGTAGGACTGGGGGGAAAGAACAAATGCTTGGTTTTATCAAACATCAGTATTTTCGGCTCCCCTGAAGCCTGTTCCAGCGGCTCTGAACGTAAACGCCAAAGGTTTTCATTCTGCATTTTACAACTGAGAGTCTGGTGTAATGCTTTATAGAGTAAAATGAATGTGAAAGCTAACGGTGTGAAGACTTAAACATAGGTGTAATGTCTGGTCTGCTGTGCTCTGTTTCAGCTCTTATCAAAAGAGCCTTCATCTGAACCAGGAAGCCCAGAGAGCTACGGGGACTTCGACTACCAGGTGAAACCCACAACAGTTGACTTGTTCTCCACGCAGCACATCTGCTGCATTATACTTGGTGAAACCCACAACAGTTGACTTGTTCACATCTGCTGCATTATACTGTGTTTTCTCACTCCCTCCCCTTCACCAATGTGACTAGTATTATATCTGTCTCCACGTGGTGTGTGCAGTCCAGGAAGTATTATTTTCTAAGCGAGGAGGCTGATGAGAAGGAGGACCTGAGCCATCGCTGTCGAGACTTGGAACATCAGGTAGGGTCATTAAAGGGGGTTTACTCCTTACTTTGAATGTTTCCTAACGGTGAAAGTTGTGTTTTTTAAAGATTTCAGTCCTGGTTGATTTGACAACACCCATTGTTGCTGGTGGACACGTCACGTGTTTTTAATACTACAGGACCCAGAGCTCTCAGTGCCATAAACTCTCCTTTATCGGGGGCGGGGGGAGACTTCACACCAGTCTCTTCTTGGTTATGCCACAACACTTAGTTTGGAAAAATGTCTGTAAGAGTGAAGCACTTGAATATTTTTTGTAGTACCTTTTTCTGTGTTGCACTTTGTAGATGGTCCCTCCAAAACTGTCTTGTACCCAGCTGCTCATAGTCTATGATAATTCATCAAATGGCTTGTCTTGAGGAAAACTAGGTTGTAGCTTGTTGTCCATCTACCTGGCTGTGGTTGGAAAGAGGCTTTGTTTGTGGTTTTAAGGTTTTTCTTAGGATTTATTGGTCCAACAAGTTTGAATCTGTGCATATTTCATCCCAGGATGGGTACAATACAAGAAAGTAACCATTCATTTTTGAACATCTGCTCATTCGGTCTGAGTAACGTGTCTTTAGAGATTTGCTCCAGTGTATTTAGAGCTGTGAGCGGCAGCAGGCCGAGCCGTCTCCTTTTCATCATCAGACATCAGCACTGAAATTTCCTGCTGTTTTGAATATTTAAGTACCAAAATTGAAAACTGAATATTTGGGTCCAGCCCTAGTTTGCAGTAACTTAGCACAGCTCTGTCACGGCATTAGTTGAGTGAACAGTTCAGTGGCTGTTATCCCAGAGAGAAAACTGCAGACAGTAACACTGGATAACTGTGAGTCTTGTCGCTCTGGGTAGGAATGCTGGACCGTTAACAGTACAAACTACTGCATAGACAAGTAACTACTGCATATAGATGCACTGAAGTGTCCTGCTGCCCACAATAGTCTCAAAAACAAGTAGAAAATGAAACTCTTAGGGATCATAACTTTAAGAAAGCATGTTGTTCTATCTTCTATCTTCCTAACAGAGCTATCGGCATCATCTCGCTTTGTTTAGTGGTTTCGCACTTGTCTGAAACTGCTTCACCTCTGTGTGACTGCCTCTCAGATACTTTGAGGTCTAGTGTTTTTTGAAACTTGTGGTTGCAGCATGTTGAGTGTGCGCCTGCAGCTGTTGTGCGCTGACCCTTATTGATTAGCCCACCTGACTGTGTGTTCCCACTGCTTGTTTGTGCACCACTGACTGACGAGGGGCTCATTTACTTTTTTTAAAGAAGTGTTCTAGTCAATAGTTGCATAACATTAAGATAAAACTGACACATTGCCTTGGGATGGAGCAGTAGCCAACAATCATTTGTGCCGCTCTCAGCCCACCTGTTTGTTTACTTGTTGGGCCCACGCACTAGGGATTAGTCATTTGTGTTGTTTTGAAAGCTATTTACTTTTACTGGTCCTGTGCTAAAGCATGCAATCTGTCCTTAAAGTTCAGTGTAGGGTTTTGCTGTGTTCAGAGTGGAAAGATGTCCAGCAGGTAAGTATCCCCCCCCCACACCCTTTGCTAACATTGGAATGCCAGCTTGTCTAACCTCAGGTTCAGCCTGACTCAAACACAGTTGTGTTGTAAACGTAACACAGCCTCCTGTCCGCAGCTTCATCAGCCTGAAGTTAAACATCGTCCTCTCCCAATGTACTAGTATAACCAGTATCATTAATGGTTATACTAGTAACTAGTATAACCAGTATCATTAAGATGTACTAGTATAACCAGTATCATTAATGGTTATACTAGTACATTTGGAGAGGACGATGTACTAGTATAACCAGTATCATTAATGGTCCTCACTGAGCTGCATATGCACTGTCATGAGGATGCACACCGGCCGACTAACTAGCTTGACAGCAGAGCATGTGAACTGAGAGCAAAGCATGTGTTCCTGGTCCTCTGCACTGTAAAGGTTGGGGTTTGTGACTATCAGTGTTTTCTCTCCTTGTGCTTGTACCCTGGCTATCACATGCACCTCTCTGTTGTTTTTTTATCTGTATCCTTCTCTTTTCCCTCCCTTTGTGCAGCTGTAGAGGTGTCATTGTGCACCTTCTCTCTCTCTCTCAGCGGTTTGTTACCTAATCTCAAGCCTTCACACCTCTTTTTGCAAAGTGTCTCTTCTGTTCCTGCCTCCTAACAGCTGTCAACGGCTCTGGAGGAGAAGTCGTCCCTTCAGGCAGAGACTCGTGCTCTGAAGGAGAAGCTGAGCTGTTGTGACTCTGCGGATGCCTCCACCATGGCAATCACCGGCAAGAAGCTGCTGCTGCTGCAGAGTCAGATGGAGCAGCTTCAGGAGGAGAACTACAGGTTCAGGCTGGACCTACACATACACAAGCGTTTATTAGGAAAACAGTCCAGGTTTCTATGTAGAATTTCAAACAAATGTACAAGTCGTAACATTCATCAGGCCTGTACAGGAGAGACGTGGACACTTCCATAATTAGCCCTACATTTTAAAGGTTGTGGTTGTAGTATTTCTAAAAAAGTCGTGTATGAATCAGATGCTACTGTTGAGTCACTTTTCTCCATCCTGTTAAACAACCGCTGTTGGTGTCAGGCTGGAGAGCAGCAGAGACGACCTGAGCGTGCGGGCAGAGGTACTGGAGCGGGAGGTGGTCGAGCTGCAGCAGCGTAACGAGGAGCTGACCAGCCTGGCGCAGGAGGCCCAGGTCTTCAAAGACGAGATGGACATTCTCAGGTGAGAGTGGCACTGGCTTCCTTCGTATCCTACCCTGTCGAGTTGAATTAGGAGTGGTGATGAGGATTATTACAAGGTAAACAAGGTGTGTGTTGTCACATGGATGCTGAAGGGTTTCTCTGCATGCTTTTTTTATTTCTCCAACAAAGCATTTAAGATTGTGTGCTGTCATTCAGTGACCCTAACCCTAAGACCCAGCACAGGTGCAGTTCATTCAGAACTCATTTTAAAAGAACAGCTTTTCTTCAGTGAAGTACACACACTCCCTTGGCCTTGCCTCACTGATGTAAATAGGGTGGACACAATACCAGAAACACGTCTCAGTACAACACAGCACAGTTAAACTGTCGCCTCCACAGTGAACACACAGGTGAACCAGCACCTCTGTGAAACCGTCTGAACACAACCTGGACATTATAGAAGGAGGATTTACTGTTGGGTTAGACTGAGGTGTTCCTAATAAACTGAACACTGAGAGCATAAGTATCTTCTGGCATGTACTGTTGAGCCAGTACTACTGGAATGGTTGCAATCAATACAAATGTCTGTTGAGACACAATATTAAAGAAGCAGTCTGTCTGAAAATACCGTGTTGTCTCCTATTGATCGGCTATTCCACATTTCTGTTACCATCAACAAACCCCATCAACTGATTGTGATAATAACTACTTTATGAAAAAGGAGAGTATATTCGTGACCCATCTTTGTGGAGCTGAGGGAAGGAGACTGAGACACAGCACATTGTCGGTTTAGGCCTGATCGTTTGAAAGAACTTGTATCACCAGCAGCCTTCTCCTTTAAACAGTAGTTCATCTATTCTCAGTTTCCACTCTGAGAAACAGCTCCCACACTGCCCACACACAGACGTCCATTCAGCTCCTCTCTCTGACATCTGTGTTGATAATGACTTTCATGCGTTGACACCGACTTGCGTCAGAGTTGCTGGTTTTCACTAGTTAAGTACATTTCCACACAGGTGTGTTGTGTTTGGGTAAAACTCAGATTCTTGTGCTCCACACTGAACACGTCCCACACTCCTCCCCCTCAGGCACTCATCTGACCGGGTGAACCAGCTCGAAGCTTTGGTGGAGACGTACAAGAGGAAGCTGGAGGATCTGGGAGACCTGCGCAGACAGGTGCGCCTCCTAGAGGAGCGCAACACCGTGTACATGCAGCGCACCTGCGAACTGGAGGAGGAGCTCCGCAGGGCCAACGCCGTCCGCAGTCAGCTGGACACCTACAAGAGACAGGCAAGCTGTGGGCTGACAGCAGCAGAGAGAGTGATACTTACTCCTGTGCTGATATCCAAGTGATGTGAAACACAGTCTGGCTTCTGCACGTGTTTGGAAAAGCTCGCAGTTTTTCGAGCGCTCTTGCCAATGCAGACTGTTGCCATGCTCTCTGACTTGCAGGCTCATGAGCTTCACACCAAGCACTCGGCAGAGGCCATGAAAGCTGAGAAGTGGCAGTTTGAGTACAAGAATCTCCATGACAAGTACGATGCACTGATGAAGGAGAAAGAAGTGAGTGGGTGAACACTGTCGGGAAACAGAGTTTTGCTTTGGGTGGGGACGACATGCTTTTACTGTGGCGTTCTCTCAGTGTGCAGCATCTGTTTCTGGTGCCTAGAAAAGGAGTAGCAATCTAGTTAGCATTGCAGCGATGCAGTCCTGGTCTGGATCAACATTGTTGTGATTCTGACAGGACGCACATCCCTGCAGGAGCAATTGTTGCCAGGCAAATATCGTACTATTCTTCAGTGGACTCCCACGTGCTGTGTCAGTTCTAGCACCTTCTGCAATCTGACAAGAGTGATTAATGCCCTCATTTACTGAAATGCACACTCTGACACGACGTGTTCATTTTCATGTGCACACCACAGCTGGTCCAACAAATGCAGGGGAGAGTTTTAGTTCCTAGTGGATTGACATTACAGATGCCATGAATAGACCAAGATACAGAGCAGTCTGAGTAGAAGCTGTACTCAGTGTTGCATTGTGCTTTGTTCCTCAGCGTCTGATCTGTGAAAGAGATGCGCTTCGGGAGACGAATGATGAGCTCAGGTGTGCACAAGTCCAACAGAGGTGTCTCAGTGGGACAGGTGAGGCGGCCCCGGGGGCGACTGCACCCTGTCTAGACACACCAGTAAAGGGCACTTTACATTTTCCTTTAATGTGCTGTTATCCAGCAGCTAACCCATCACCTTTCACACATTAGTAGCTCTGTGGGTGGCTCATGGTTCATAGGTCACTTTTATTTATGGTGTATATTTAAAACCAGCACAGACAAACATGAAATGCATGTCAGGGAAACGTGGACATAACGTGTGGCCCTCCCACTCCCAAAAACAGCCAACATCTCAGAGAGAATCAGGGTTTAGGGCAGTTTTACTTCCTTCAACCGTGACCACAGGTGAAAACTGATTGGCCCTGATCCTCCTTAACAAACAAAAGGTCAATAAAATACAGGTTTTCTGACCTAAACAGGAGGAAATGGCTTCTCGCTGCTACTAAACTGCTACTTCAGGTGCTCTAGTTTGTATGGAGAGTGAAGCAGCATCAGACTAATTCAGTACAACACATGGCGAACAAACAACTGGGAGGCTGGCATCTTGTTGGGGGTGGTGGAGGAGGAGGAAGGTGGCTGTCAGATGGCCTGATGACATCTTTTTCTCCAATCTGGAGGCAGCAGTCCATTCAAACGGGCCAATCACAAGGCACCACCTGTTCCTTGTCACCCACACACACTAAGAAGGGCTGAAGAAAGACCTGTCAGTCGGCACAGACACAGCACTGACCCTGGGTTGTTACTGTGTGCACACAATGCACATCATTGGAACAAAAATGGCTAAAAAACATTCTTTAGTTGTGATAATAAACAAGTGAACTCAAATACATTTGAAAAGGTCGTCAATCAAAGGTAAAGACAAATGATCAGGCTGATTTAATCCAACCTGTTAAGTTTCCAGCTGACACTTGGTCCATCTGTGTCTGCAGGAGGCTTGTGTGACAGCGGTGACGCAGTGGGGAACCTGGCTGCAGAGATTATGCCCACGGAGCTCAAGTATGTCTGTTACTAATGCTGTGTGCGTGTCTTTACCGTCTGTGTGTGGCAAACACATTTGGGTGTAACAGATGAGATTTTCCTTGTGAACCTACAGAAGATGTGCATTGGTGCCACTACCAGCAGCCCACGCCTTCCCTGTGTTTATCTTCTTTGGTCTGAGATCAAGTACTCAGGCCAACGCAGCCACCAAAGTTTATTTTTAGGACCTGAATGTGCAGTTGGTGGCTGATGTATTGACACATGGCAGCGCTGCATATTCAGCCTGGGCGTTGTCAAACACAAGGCTCCTCTGCCTCAGCCGCACTCTGACCCTCTTCTTCTGCCCCTTCCCTCACTCTCCTCGTTCCTCCGACAGGGAGACAGTGGTGCGTCTACAGAGTGAAAACAAGATGCTGTGTGTCCAGGAGGAGACATACATGCAGAGACTAGTGGAGGTGCAGGCTGAGCTGGAAGAGGCTCAACGCAGCAAGAACGCCCTGGAAACTCAGAACAGGTAGTGGCGTGGGTGTTCTCCCTGTACAGTCCAACTTGTTGTTCAGCAGTGTTAAATAATCATTCCCCTTCTAGGCCACCATATTGTGTGTTCTGGACATTACGCTTGTGGTTTGGCTGATAGTAGGAGTGCTATCTGCCTAAATGTCAACTCGCCCTCTGGACTGTGTGCTCAGCTGAGCTGTGTGGGCTGGGCTGGAGGACAGACAGCAGAAAGCCAGATTGTCCCTTGACTGTGTGTGTGTTTACATGGCTGTGGGCATGTGGACATGTGGGTGGACTGTGTGTGTGTGTGTGTGTCCATTGCAACACCAGGCCCAGGGTGTGAGAGGCATCCTCAGTAACAGGAGGAGAGGAGTGAGCATGCCCAGTGCAGCAGAGCAGTGAATGGCCAGGCAGCAGAAGGGTGGATGAACGCTGCCTGCAGCAGGTGAACTGACGTGTGTCCCCCACACCTCACTGACGCAGCGCTCAGTTCCTCCTGCCATCGTACCTGCAGCCTTTGGTTTGCACAGAACAAACCAGAGAAGCTGTGAAAGGGCTGAACTCTTCTTCTGAAGTGGCCTGAACACAGCAACTGGTTTCACTGGGAGCTGGTGGTGATGTTGGTCACAGCTGGTTTCACAGCTGTGTTCAGTCTAATCACCAGTCACTGAACGTGGACAAGAGGAAGAACAGCAGAGAGCTGTCTGACGAGCTCAGGAAGGAGAGAGTCAGCGGGCGTGGTCGAGCTAAAGGCTACAGACCATCTCCGAGCAGCTGGACGACCCTGTGACCACAGCTGCCGAGGGTATTAACAAGAGCTGGGTCCATGGCAGCGTAGCTGAGCTCCCTGGACGAGAGGAGGAAACCTGAGCCCAGATGGACCAGACAGATTGACCTGCAGAGTTCCACTGCAGGAAAAAGACACAGGAAGACTTCAGGTCCAGGCTGAGCCCCGAGATCCGGGTCCGACAGGGTCCCAGGTAGCAGATGTGGCTCCGTGGAAGAGGAGCCCACTGTGGAGAGACAGAGTGGAGTCGGTTAGATGCTGCTGGGAGAACGTCCTGTGGACACATGGAGCCAGATGCAGCTGTTTGGACACAGCAGCTCCGTGTTCGCAGGAGAAACACTGACGCTGTCCCACAGGACGGCAGCATCCCCGCCATCATGAGACTTTACAAACATCCCCCACCCACAGAAGCTATTTAATAACCTAGTCACATCTTCTCCGGTTGTTTGTGGCCGTCTGCCTTCCTTAAACGTTTTCATTTTCTCTCCTCTGTTTTGTCTTTTTTTGCTCTTTCCATTCCTGACCTCCCTTTTATTGTCTCTTTCCAAGGTTGAACCTGCAGCAGATCTCAGAGCTGCGTTCTCAGGTCGAGGAGCTCCAGAAGGCGCTCCAGGAGCAGGATGGCAAGACCGAGGACGTGAGTGCACAGAGATGGTGTTTGTCGCTTCAGACTCGCAGCTCTCCTCCTCACAAACCATCGTTTGCTACGGTCCAGTCGACGGCATAGGTGGAGAAGATGGTGTCCAATATTATAAATACTGAAAATGTAGAGCAGATACAGACGTAGCTACAGTCACTACAGTCCACCGATGTCACTACTAATGGGAGCCAGATGTTTTCTTCAGGCCAGAATAAGCAAGAACTCGGCCTCATATTTAATTTTTGTTTAACCATGGAAGGTCCCGTTGAGGTTTGCCCCGGCCAAGTGGCAGCAGCATGAGTCCCAGACAAATCATAATCAAGCACACGTACAATATTAAAACCAGACATTAATGCTTCAGATCTTCATAAATGAAAATGTGCTAATTACAAGTAGAAAGACAATCTGTGCAAACCAGAGGCTGCAGGTGTGATGACCCAAGAACCTGGGAGGGCCCAGCAGCAGTAGACCTACAGCAGACAACATTTACATCCTTCCTTTATTTGATGAAGTCAAATTATTTATCTGTAGTTGAACCAGAGGCAAAGAACATCACGATCAAAGACTGAAATATGGGGAGCAGCGGTCTGAAATAAGTTGAATAGAGATGGTCATGTTTGAAGAAGACTGTGGTGCCTGTTCTCTTACTGTTTCTGGGTGTTGTGTGGGAATTTAACCCGTGTTTGCTGTGGTGATTCACTGCTAATGCCCTCCCCTCTCTGTCTGTCTCTCTCCGGCTGCCCTCGTTGATCCACTCTGCCAAAATCAGGCCATTGTAAGTACGGCCACCCTCGGTCCAACTGGCCCATGATTTTACTCTGACAGCTTGACTTTCAGTGTGTGTGTGTGTGTGTGTGTGTGTGTGTGTGTGTTTAAACTCAGAAGGTTTTCTAAATAATGTTTTTTCCCTTCCATCTCCTCTGAAGTCGTCCTTACTGAAGAAGAAGCTTGAGGAGCATTTGTAAGTCCTCCACCGCTGCTCACTGGTTATTTCCCATGTGGACTCCAGAGGAAAGTTTGTTCACACTCAGATCTGTTATTTTAGGGAGAAGCTCCACGAAGCTCACTCAGATCTCCAGAAGAAACGAGAGGTCATTGATGACTTGGAGCCCAAAGTGGACAGCAGCAGTAAGACGCGTTTAAAGTGCCCTCTGACCCCCAAGGCAGCGTCCCCTCCCTCACTGGCTGTGTTTGTCCCCTTGCAGTGGCCAGGAAGATCGATGAACTCCAGGAGATCCTGCGGAAGAAGGACGAGGACATGAAGCAGATGGAGGAGCGCTACAAGCGCTACATGGACAAGGCGAGGACGGTCGGTAGACCTCAGCACAAAGCGCTCAGTGTCTCAGGAGTGTCATGCTGAATCAGTGGTCGACTGTTATTCTTTTCTAAATGTCTTCTGCGTGTGCAGGTGATCAAAACCCTGGACCCCAAGCAGCAGCCGGTGACTGTGACTCCTGACATCCAGACTCTGAAGAACCAGCTGACGGAGAGAGAGCGAAGAATCCAGCACCTGGAGGTATGAACCTCAGACCTGAAGCTGCACAACGAGGTCAGTGTAGGTCTGTAAACGCCACTAATGCTCTGTCCCCCTGCACAGCACGACTACGAAAAGAGTAGAGCCAGACACGACCAGGAGGAGAAGCTCATCATTAGTGCGTGGTACAGCATGGTGAGTGGACAAACGTCACCTCTGGCCTTATCAGAGAATGTCAGACCAAATAAGTTTTACTACACAAGTTCATATTCTGCATCCAGTACTTTTCACACCCACATCTGATTGTTTCCTGCGTCCTTCTCAGGGTATGGCGTTACATCAGAAAGTGTCCGGTGAGCGGCTGGGCCCCTCCAACCAGGCCATGTCCTTCCTGGCCCAGCAGAGGCAGTCCGCCTACGCCAGGAGAAGCCTGGCACGCCACCACCCACGGTAGAGGACAGACAGTGCTGCACCTCAGACGCTTGTCAGGCAGCTGCTGCCCCCTGCTGGCTCTTTATGACAGTGTTTCCTCTGTGGAGCCTCAGACGACTGATTCATCTGCTGCTGTTTTCTATTCAGCTCAAACAAACTGAGCTGAGAAGAGTCTGTCTCACCTTTTAAGGTGGCTTTTATTTCCTCTATGGCCTCTCGGACTTGATCCTGTTTGTATAAGTCTTCTAAATGTTTTTAATATCTTTTATGTTGCACAATAAGCTGGAGCGTGACTGAGCTTTGTCAGGGTTACAGTGCAGTGGATGAGGGAGGAGGAGTTTGGGGCTTTATAAGTGAAGAAGAGGAAGCTACGCAGACTGAAGACAGATCGTTACATCTTCTTGGTTTTGTTCCTGTGGTTTTAACTTTCTTCTGGTTTTTATTTTTGTCTTCTAGCTTGTGTGTTTCTTTGAGGTGCTTTTTTAAATGTTTCCATTTGAAACCTTGAGGAGGTGTAAAGACCATGGGGGTGTGTTTTACAGCTGTAGTCTTGTTTTCCTTTAGATTCACTTGAGTCTTTTCACTGAAACCTAATGACCTCCACCAAAGCACTTTGTCCAGAAGGCCTGGTCAGTGCCTCCGTCTGTGGGTGAGACACCTGCGGCTTCCTCCCTCTCTAATGCAGAAACATTGTAAAGAACACTGGAGGTTTGTTGTCACGTCTGCTGATAACATGGCCTGTGCATATGATTTTTCTCAACAATGTTCCCATGAATTTGATTTATTCCTTAATGTTTTGAAACAGGGTGTTAGCTGTGAGTAAGACCTTTTTGCACTCCACACTTTAAACTGATGTGAACGCTGGCGGCCGAAGGCTCCCAGTTTATCACGGGGAAGCTGGGGTCGCTGCTGATAAGAACACTAAAACAGTGACTCGGCTAATGACTGTTTACCGTCACTAGACCTCATTTCAAGTCGAACTGAGCTGGAAGGAAATGTATGCTGTAATTCTCTTGTCGTGTGTTGACAGGAAGCCGGAGGCTGAGTCCGTAGCACGTGTATCAACACTGCGTCTGGGTATTTTTCTTTTTCAACAGATCTATTTTTTGTCTGTCCCATATGGGAGCTGCTGTGTTCAGACTAGAACCCTGTGCTCTGATGTACACAGACCACGATCCTGCTGTGGGCTGCACATGGTTTTCTACTTGTCTTTCATTGAGTTGAGGTTTCTGCTGTTAAGTCATTGTCTTTTCACATTTGCATGGCTTGAAGGGTGAACGTTTGTCGGTTTGTATCATGTGATGGCCTGGTAGATCGTAGCATACTGTGCTTCACACGGGGTCTGAGGCACGTTCAAGTTTGTAGTCCTGTCTTCTACGTTTGCACTACAAATAAATGGGAACTTAAGCTAAGTGGTGTTTTCTTTTCTGATGTATTTAAAGAGCAGTGACGGACCAGAGCTGACAGCACCGTTTCTAAACACTTCTCCAGAAGGATCTGAGGAACAATGCTGACCCTGGTTTTATCACCTTGGCCCTCCTCATGGAGGCAGTTTTAGTTCTGTCATGATCTAAAGGCCAAAACGATTAGTCAGATCTCTCACATCCTTTGTGCAACTGTTGAGCAGTTCAGTGAAGCATTGTTTATCCGTCACACCATTTTCAACAAGCATGTCTCAGGCTTTTCAGAGAAGCAGCACCTAAGTCTAGCTGGCCAGCAAACAAATACAGGAGTGGGCTGCACTTTGGTTTCTGTAGTCTAAAACGTTTTAATGAGATGTTCAGCTTGACCTTTAACCCCTGTGATGACTATTATACACCTTTATTTACAGCCCCGCCTTCTTCCAGATCGTCTGATGACCAGAGACAAACGGGGACAAATCAGGTTTTATTAACTGTAGAGGTAGATACCGGTTCTAGATGAATACCGGTTTAGCACACAGGAGGACAGAGGTCAGGTACATGTGGCCTTGTGCTCAGTTTATTAGGTACACCTAGTTCAAACCAAGCCACATGTACCTGATCCAATGAGCCTCCAGGAATCACAGGGTGGAGCTGAACATTAGCACAGCTGTTCCTAATAAACTGACTCAAAGCGTTGGCGTTTTAAAACCTGCCTCAGCTTTTCATTACAGGATTTTACTGATAGATTATCCAAACCCGTTCGCGCGCATGCGTAACGTCCTACTACAGGTGATTGGTTTAGAGGTTGCGCGCAGGTGCGTTCATGCACGTCTCCTGTGATGCAAGATTTATAAGCTTCCTGAGTCCGCTGGGGTTCGCGTGGATTTAGCGCACACTTCTGCGTGCATGTTAAAAATACGTCGGCCCCGGCCTGGCCGCACAACAAATCCCCCGTTTATACGTGCGTCACCGTGTCAGTCAAACGTCGGCGTACGTGCACACAAGGCAGACCCTCGATCTGAAGTATGAACAGGGGCGTGCGGGTCCTTCCTCTGTCTGAAAGTGTGCGCGAAGCCTGATTCGGCCTTTATCAGCCTGTTGCAGCCCCGGGCCAACCGGAAGTTTGACCACTTCAAGACGCGCACCTGTCTGGCCCCGTCCCACCCGGTACCGGGCTTTGTTCAGACACGAGTTTCAGAAACAGCAGGGAAATTCCCGGGTAGGGTTGCGAACCGGAGATACCGCTGATGACGACACTGAGGGTTCAGCGGCCTGAGCGCGGAACCGGAACCGGACTGCGCTGACCCGGGTGAAAGGGAACGTGCCGTTAGTGACTCCGTTTGGCCAAAGTGGATCAGGAGACTTGTTTGGCTCGGTAAGTCCTGGCATGTATATGTTCTGCACTGTACAGTTTATAGTGCACGCGTGTTTGTTGTGCTGAACTGTTGAGTTCGTGTTGACTGAAAGCTGTGATGAAGTGAACAGGTTCGTTGTGGCGAGGATGGACTCGGCACTTTCAGTCTGCAGCGGTAAATCCGGTGGCGCACAGACCGAGCCCAGGGCCCTGTGGCAGGGTTGGATCGCCCCTGAGCTGGTGGTGTGGATGGAGGCGTGCTGGATCTCCGATGGGGCTGTGGGCTTGTTTTGTGGATCGCTTGTGTGCTGCAGGTTCTGCTTCTGTTTCTGCAGAAGAGCTGAGGTTGTCCAGGCCCACAGGAAACCCCTTGAACTCATAAATGCCATGTGGCTGTTTAGAAAATGACTCCTGTTATCTCAGCCAGCTGGAGTTTCCATTACTCAGTGATGTCTAATGGTAAAAGAAACCAGTCCAAGTCCAAGTGTAGAAGAAAGGTCATGACCTTTGGCTGAAATAGTTGCTGTTCCTAATTAAGGGTTTTGCTGAGAAGAGATGCGTCTAATGCCCCTGTGATGTTCTCAGATGAATAAAAGTAACTGAGGTTTAGTTTTCTAATAAGTTTACTATGATTGACAGTATCATCAATGTCACAGGTTCACAGTCACAATGACACAATGACAGTGATTAAAAAACCATCCAGGTACATAGACAAGTGTCCAAAGTTATAGGCAGAGCATCCGAGTAGCTTTCACTTTATTTTACCTGGTGCATTTAAAGAGTTGTTCACTAACGTCCTGCTTCATTAGCTGTGTCCAGTCTTCAGTGAACCCCAGCGTTGTAGTCCAAGTGCCCCACCTTGTGGCCGCTTGGCAGCACTGCATGCAAAGTTTCTGCCCGTTTATTTGTGTCCATCTGTGCCTGGGAACCCGTTTTATGTAGAACACGTAACCTGAAACCTGATCATAGTGCCTTCTTGGTACAACTCCTGACTGGCAATAGCTGGCTTTATATTGTTCTACACCTGCGCAGCATCAAAATGAGATGAGCTGCAGCAAAGCTACATCACTGTTAGAGAGAAGGGTCCAGCTCTCTGACAGTTGACATGTGGGTTTAATCTTCACTCTGCCCTTCCCAAACTTCCTGGTCAGGGTAGCAACAGCAGACATGGACAAGTTCATGAGGGTCCTCCCCACAGACTGTGACAAGGCCCCGGCTTCATCACAAACCTCCAGCCTCCTCTGTAAGTGAGCGTCTGCTGCCTTCGCAGGCTGAGCAAAGGGCTCCAGGTGTGCTCCTGTTGGCTCCACGGTCTGCCTGTCAGGGCGGGCCGCGTCCTCGGTGAAGCTCCACACACCTGCTTACTTTTTTTTTTTTTTTTTTTTTC